ATTTTCATGCATATTATTTTACCTGCTTCTGTTACTTACCATGCAGATTTACTATGCTCAGGAGAAGTCTAGAGAACTAAGGAATGCACATCTACTGATCAGGACACTGATGTGTGTGCTTGTTAAGTATGCTTGTCACATGTTTTATTAATCATCTGGCTGATAAGCGGTGCTGTCCAAGAGTTCATTTCAATATATATAAACACACACACTCACGGATATGCATTTTACTTATTTAGACGCCATGGATCAAGTTCATTAGACTCAAGAGGAAATGATAGCACCTCGCTGAGAGGTCAGGTCATGGCTTTCCTGACCTAGCAGAACAAGGATAATTTGAATGGTAGATTTGAATTGTGCACTCTTTACAGCTTTCCAGTAAGCTCAAGCCTTGAACATTTTGATTCAAAAGGTGTTAACTGGTGATGGGCTAGACTGGTTGGTGGTTAAATACAGGAAATAAACTGATTGGCTCCAAACTGAATCTACTTCCTTTACAAATAAATCCAGTCCAGCTGCATCAGTTTCAGGACACGGTACTGTGCACTCATTAGTTATTGTCACTCCAGTCCAGATCTCTGTTGGATACAGCTGTGCATTGGATCAGATCGATGACACAGCTGTATTTGTAACTGTCAGGAGGGTTGTTCCTTATAGCAAGAAAATATACAGTGATAATTTTAGACTCTTGCTTCGTGTCCTAGTCATCACTTTCTCTGTCCCCAAACAAACACGATAGATCTAAGGATTAGGTTTTAGGTCTCCTATGGTTACTTTCAAGTCACTCTGGGTATATTTACTTTCTCTGTCCAGGGCAAAGGGACTATATTGATTTTTTTTCCAGTTGACTTTATCTGTAGTGTTTAAGGAGCAACTTTTATAAGCTAGTATAAGTACACACCTCAGATCACTGGCAAAGTACAAAATAAGTACTGCTTCCTCCAGCTCAGTCATATCACATGAGATTGATAGAGGAATCATTGTGAAGGGTACAGGCTGACAGATTGAGCTTGGGAATTGATAAGTGAGCTTGTATAACTAGTCACTATAGAATTTATAAATAGGACTACTTATGTGCCATGTGTTCCAGGTTTTGAGATCCAGCATTACCCTGTCAATAGCAAACTAAATTGTTGCTAAAATTGCATCATTGCCTATGACATTTAGTGCATTAAATGTATTATAGGGAGCAATAGAGAGAGTAAAAAAACCTGGCAGCAGAGTACATTTTTTTCCTTGCATTTATGTATAACTTCCATCGTTGCTGAATACAATTACGCAGTGCGTTTTCTCTTAAGTTTTTTTTTCTCCTTTTGTGGACCGGCTTTATCTACATGCATGAGAGTAAAATTACTGTAATGACAAAGAATTTCAGCAAAAAAGGAAATGGGGGACAGGAAGCCCTCGCGATTGGTACATCTGGTTCTGAGTTCATACTTGAGCTTGTTCCTGTTAACTAGATGATTTTGCTGTTGTCCGTTTTGCCATGTAACAATGAACATAAATCTTAAGCCAACCTGACAGGAGAAAGGTTTGAGGGGAAAAAAATCTCATTTGCTGGGGGTCATACTTGAATATCTTTATGCCAGTTGAGCAGTTCTCAAAGATTTCAGTGTAGTTATCACCAGTAAGGGTAGCTGAATTGGTTAATGTATGATACAAAGTTCTATATTTACCATGAACTGTGTCTTTAGGGGCAAGATGGTGCTCACCTTTGCATGAGTTCTGGGGTAAAATGCTCAAGGAGGTTTACTCCTTCCATCCCTGCCCAAGTGACACTCCAACCTTGGGTAGGAATAAATGGTAAATTTTCAGAATGGAGAGGGGTAACTAGTGGTGTCCACCAAGGGTCAGTCCTAGGACCAATCTTATTCAACTTATTCATAAATGATCTAGAGAAAGGGGCAAGCAGTGAGGTGGTAAAGTTTGCGGATGATACCAAACTGTTTAAGATAGTCAAGAAAGAAGCAGACTGTGAAGAACTTCAAAAAGATCTCACAAAACTGAGTGATTGGGTTACAAAATGGCAAATGAAGTTTAATGTGGATAAGTGTAAAGTAATGCATGTTGGAAAAAATAACCCCAACTATACATATAATATGATGGGGGCTAATTTGGCTACAACAAATCAGGAAAGAGATCTTGGAGTTATCGTGGCTAGTTCTATGAAAACGTCCACATAGTGTGGTGCAGTGGTCAAAAAGGCAAATAGAATGTTAGGAATTATTAAGAAAGGGATAGAAAATAAGACACAGAATATCTTACTGCCCCTGTATAAAACTATGGTACATGCACATCTTGAGTACTGTGTACAGATATGGTCTCCTCATGATAATAAAAAATAAAGAATAGTTCCTTACCCAGACATATTTATGTATTGCTAGATAATAATCAAGTTTAATCAAATAAATAATAGTGTTTGTGTCAGAAACAAACAAACAAAGAAACAGGACTTTCAATGAGCACAACATATTTTTCTAGAAATGTAAATAAACATCATTAGGCTTGAGGGAGAGGGAAGAAGGTCCATGAAAAATTTTAAATCAAAATGGAGATTCTTGGGTTGCTAAAGTGTGAGCACTGCTTTCTTACAACATGGGCAAAGTATGAGAATTAGACACAACTGTGCTCTGGAGGCAGTGTGTGCATGCCGTCCCTTCCCTAGACTACTTAATACACAGGTGTGTGGGTGCAGAGGTTGTACCATCTTATAGGTAGGTAGGCCAGTTTTAGCCCATTCTGTGGAAAGCCATGATACCATAACACTGATTGCCTCTTCCCACTTAGGGGCATCATGAAATACCAGATTACATAAGAACATAACATAAGAACATAAGAATGGCCATACTGGGTCAGACCAAAGGTCCATCTAACCCAGCAGCCTGTCTGTCAACAGTGGCCAGCGCCAGGTGCCCTGGAGGGGGTGGACTAAAGACAATATCAAGCAATTTGTCTCGTGCCATCCATCTCCAGCCTCTGACGAACAGAGGCCAGGGACACCATTCCTACCCCCTGGCTAATAGCCTTTTATGGACCTAACCCCCATGAATGTATCTAGCTTCTCTTTAAACTCTGTTAGGGTATGTCTACACTACCCCGCTAGTTCGAACTAGCGGGGTAGTGTAGACATACCCTAACAGAGTTTAAAGAGAAGCTAGATACATTCATGGGGGTTAGGTCCATAAAAGGCTATTAGCCAGGGGGTAGGAATGGTGTCCCTGGCCTCTGTTCGTCAGAGGCTGGAGATGGATGGCACGAGACAAATTGCTTGATATTGTCTTTAGTCCACCCCCTCCAGGGCACCTGGCGCTGGCCACTGTTGACAGACAGGCTGCTGGGTTAGATGGACCTTTGGTCTGACCCAGTATGGCCATTCTTATGTTCTTATGTTATGTTCTTATGTAATCTGGTATTTCATGATGCCCCTAAGTGGGAAGAGGCAATCAGTGTTATGGTATCATGGCTTTCCACAGAATGGGCTAAAACTGGCCTACCTACCTATAAGATGGTACAACCTCTGCACCCACACACCTGTGTATTAAGTAGTCTAGGGAAGGGACGGCATGCACACACTGCCTCCAGAGCACAGTTGTGTCTAATTCTCATACTTTGCCCATGTTGTAAGAAAGCAGTGCTCACACTTTAGCAACCCAAGAATCTCCATTTTGATTTAAAATTTTTCATGGACCTTCTTCCCTCTCCCTCAAGCCTAATGATGTTTATTTACATTTCTAGAAAAATATGTTGTGCTCATTGAAAGTCCTGTTTCTTTGTTTGTTTGTTTCTGACACAAACACTATTATTTATTTGATTAAACTTGATTATTATCTAGCAATACATAAATATGTCTGGGTAAGGAACTATTCTTTATTTTTATTACAATTAAATTTAAACAGTTAAAAAACTCCACCCCTTCCCACAAGACTCTATCCTTGCCTCTCTTACCAGTTATGCAGGAGGCACTGGGAGGGAAGCAGAGGAGTTGATTAGCAGGGTTGGCAGCGCCAGAGGTGATTCACAGACATCCCATGGAGGAGGTGCTGGGAGAAAGGGGGAGGAGTTGATCTGCAAGGCTGGGGTCCCTGGACTTACAGACTCCCTGGAACTGGGACTTACAGACTCCCTGGAACTGGACACAACTTGCAGCCCCCCTCCCCCCCCC